TTTTATGTGTTTTATAACATCAAAAACATTTTGAAAAGTATAATTTACATCAAACTTATATATATATATCACTAATTTGGCGTCAATTACTCAGAAATGAATATTATTTTTTATATATGTGTATACTATAACTTCGATGTACAATTTTTTCTATAATAATAATTCTAGTGAATTCAAGATTACCTTGGATCTCTCAAAAGCGTCTAAAATCATATCTCCACCGTATCCATTCATAACTCGGTCGCTATTCATAATTTTGAAAAAGCCAATTTATCTTTTCAGATAGATATTGGATTTCTTGCGATCAATTTTTTACTGTCTGAAGAGATATTGGTAAATATGGCTAGGAATCTTTTCGATATTTATCAATTGATATTTCATCGATGCCATTTTAACTTAAATAATGAGAGCCGTATATTTTCAAGCGAAACGCGCGCATCTGCAATATGTTATATAATAGAAAACGTTGGTTGATAGATGTAATTACAATTTATAGTGTTTTGAATTAATTTCACTAGTACATTGAAAAAGTTAATTATTAAAATTAATTATTAGTTTAATGCATATAATCAAAGTTAATTAATAGGTACACCGAACAATAAATTAACAAAATGTACTATAGTTTGAATAGACATACATACAAAAACAAGCATATATATATATATATATATATATATATATATATATATATATATATAAATTTTTTTAATCCATTATCTATTCAGAATAAATACGTTTCGGTCTTTGTCAAGACCGCCATTCAGTGGAACAAAGATAATTAATTATACAAAAATACACTATACTATTACACAGTAATAAACCATGCTATTAACAATTGTAACATTTAAAACTAATGATTTTTGTCAATTTTTTTGTTACATGCTAGTGTGTACAGAGTAACTGACTACTCAGACAAGTATTTAGACGTCAGTTACTCTGAACACACTAGAATGTAACAAAAAAAATTTCAAAAATCACTAGTTTTTTATAGTAGCATTCGCTCTTTTTATGGAAAATTATACACTTTAGCTTATATTCAATTATTTTTTCATTGATTTATTACACCTTTATATTTCTTTCTAATTTTTTTTAGTTATTATTGAGTTTATATTTCACTTTACTTTGAAAATTCTAAGTTAACGGTAATCTGCTTCGACTGTTGTAGAAAGCAAGTCATTCTCAACAGATAATGGATTAAAAAAGTTTTAACTAATATATATATATATATATATATATATATATATATATATATATATATAACTCGTAGACAAAATATTTGAATCTAAATTTGAAATTATTTTCGGAACTTTCATGCATAATGCCAAATTGCTTCAATTATAATGTAATGGCATTATAACTCTAGTTAAATATAATAGAGTTATAAATAATTGATATTTATTTAGTGTTCAAAATTGAAATGCGGTTTAAAATAACAATCATAATATAAATTCAACGAGTGCAATCCAATATGAAATGAATTCATTTGCTGATATTTTACGTCATACTTTATACTACCATAACTTTGTTTTAAATAATTGATAATGTTTTATGTGAATCCTGATTATTTGTTTTTAATTTATGATATTTGTAATGTATTACCTATTAACATTGGAATTACAGTAAGCAATACCAACGATTGTTATTATCAACAAAAAAATATAAACAAAAATTGTACATTTTTTCATTTATGATACGTTCCAATATAAGGTTTAGAAAAATAATCAATTTGTATTTAATACTTTTGTTTTTAATACTAATATAAATTACTGAAAGCGTTTGGTAATTTATCTTTAAGTTAATCTATTTTATTATTCCTAAATCTATATAGAATGTGTAACTACGACCTAATTATTCTTTGATACAAAAAATCATCCCATCAAAATATCATTTTCACATTTTCTTTTGACGAACATTAGCAAATGAAAATTACATGATTCCACGATTTAATTTTTAATTAATTCTGAATCGCAACCCAGAACGTAATCGCTAAACTTTTTTTCCAAGATTGTAAAAACGAGTAAAAATGAATTTAATACAAACAAAATGAAGAATTATCGAAATGATAATGACGACTGGATTTTAGGAACGTTTTCGTGCAAGAACTAAGATCAATTTTATAATTAGTGATCAATTTTATAATTAGTATTTAATGCATTATATTCAAATGATGTTTTTGTAATCCAGGCGTAAAAGCAAATATTATCATTTGGACTTATGTACAATAATCTAAAATAATATTAATTTTGATGATGCACAAGTTTATTTTTAAATTTTATCTCTACAAAAATGTATTGATTTCAATTTAATTATTATTATATGAGTTTCTTTATACTACTTTTTTCGTGTCATCTGTACCATATAATACCAATTCTGTTGCGAATTAATGATTTGTTATATTTTCGAAGAGCAAACAATAAACCCTTATACCTATTTGTTTTTGTTATCATTAAATATGGTTTGCTTTTCAAGACTATATCTAGATATCATTTAGATATGTCGATTAACATAGGGTAGAGCAGGGCACAAAGGCCCGTGGGTTCGAAGGACCACCATCGATATGTCAAGAACAAGTAAAAATAAGATTTTTTTAACAACAACATTTAAAAGTCGAGGAATTCTTATGACGTTGCTATCAGGAGATAAACAACAATGTTTGAAAATCCATCAATAAGTTTTATTGCTTATGAGCACTGTTGTTTAGTTCACGTGACTTTAATATAATTTTAAGTATTTCAGGTGTATACTAATGTATACACAATGTATGCACGCAATGTATAATGTTTTGTTAATTTTAAGTTAGATTCACCAGTTTTTTATATAACCTCTATAAAACCTTGCACGTGGGTGGGGTAAAAAGGACCAACTAAAGCTTTGCCATTGCAAAAGAGTAAACAATAAAACATAGTGAATAAAATGTAAATTAAGTTCACAAAGACAATTTTACAAGATATAAATTAAATCTCTTTAAAATTAAAAATAAGATATTGTACCCATTTGTCCTTTGCGGGTCCTATTTCACCCTTCTTCTATGGGGTAAA